ACAGTTTCTAGAATAACAAAATTATTCTAATCATCAAAACCTAAATCCTGAGCCTCTGCCACAAATTTCCAGGGATATACCCTGCATGAAAAAAATAGCCACAAGATTGGTCTATTCAGTAAAGTTTTTTTCTTTACCCAAGAAAAGTTAATGTGCTAAGTATCCATATGCCACTTACCTTGATTTTTTTTTCCAACGTGAGCCTGTTTATTATGCTATTTTTATCCACAAATAACAAAAGGAATAGTATTTCACTCCTTCCGCTAATTAGCTTCAACCTTACATTTAGAAAACTGTAGGAGAATGTAGGGTAAACCTAAATATGAAATTAAGAAATGGAGCCATAGTCTAGATCAAAAGGATATGAATGCTAAAAGAATTGAGCTCACTAAATGCCACACTCAGATTTGCTGCCATTAAAAGAAAAAAGACAGCTGTGCCAGCAACAGAATTTGCTCAATAGACAGATAAACAGAACACTTCTTTGTCTGGCTCATTTCCCATTTTTGTATGTGTAAGTTCACAAGGTAGCTTTGGAACATAACAATACTACTAATTCAATTAAAGTCAATTAATGATTAAAAGCTGAAAGAAATATGGTTCTGTTATTTTTCTTTAAGCCAAGAAAGTGGGAACCAAACACACTGCCCTACAGTAACATTCATTAGCCTGAGAACCATACAGAAGAAAGTTCTTTCTCTCCCCCCACCCACCCCCAGAAGCAGACAGGTTGTCCTCTGAGAGCAGGTTATATTCAACAGGGCCTCTCCTGCTATTCTAAATAACCAGGTAGATTTCCTAGTGGACAAGGCTGTTCCCCAAATAATGAAACCATTTAAGGCTTTAAAGATCAATATCAGGATACAAATTGTGCCCAGTAGGCAATTCACAGTCAGTGCAGGTTTTTCTGTAGAATCATATGATCCCCATTTTTTGCACTGATCAGTAACTGCATTTTATGAGAACCCTTATAGGCACAAAATGGAACGAATTAATGCTTTGGAACAATACCACTTGCTACAAGGATCTCTGCTTTATATCAAAAGAGCTGTTGCTTTTGGAAACTGTAGGTAGTTGCATCAAAGTACTAAGTTATGATTGTAATGCAACATATTAGCAATGTCTATCCTTCATAAAAAGATTACAAATGGAGGAAAATCCGATATGCTGCCCGACTTTCCATCCTTGTTATAAATGGTAGCAAGCTCTCACTGAAATCAACTTAAAGTTCTTTTTCCCCAGACAATAAATGTCTGCATGGAACCCACCCTTTAGATCAGTATGCATTATGTGTACACAAGTATTAGTCAGGGTGAACATAACAAAAAAGGCAACACAAAATAAAAATGCGATATTAGTAGTAACATCTACATTAAAAATTACCAATGAAATCGTTTGTAAAATAAGGCACCTCTTTTGTAAATTTATCCCCTATTTGCACTTCTTGAATGTATATAAATATAAGAGAGAAAATATGGAAATATGGACTCATATTTCAAACTTGCAGTAAACTCAACTGAAGTACAGGTAATCCTCGACTTATAAACATTCACTTAATAACCATTTGAAATTACAAGGACACTGAAAAAAGTGACTTATGACCATTTTCATACTTGTTGCAGCATCCCCACAATCATGTGATCAAAATTTGGATGCTTGGCAATTGGTTCATACTGTGAACCAATACTGCCGTGTTCCGGGGTTACATGATCATCTTTTGCAACTTTCTGACAAGCAAAATCAATGGGGAAGCCAGATTTTCACGTAACAACCGTGTTACCAAATTAGCTGCACTAGTTCACAACTATGGCAAGAAAGGTAATAAGGTGGGGCAAAACTCACTTAACAACTGTCTTGCTTAACAACAGAAATATTGGGCTTGATTGTGGTCAAAATTGGAGGACTACCTGTAAATTAGTCCCAGAAAAATGCATATAGACTCCTATTATCAGGGGATAGATCTGTTCAGCCTAATCAATGGTGTGTAAGCCTTCAGGTAACCCCCAACTGATAGTCATAACTGGGACCAAACGTTCAATTTCTAAGCAAGGTACTTAAGTGAGTCACACCCGATTTTATGCTATTTTTTTGCCATAGTTATTAAGTGAATCACTGCAGTTGTTAAGTGAATCATGTGATCATTAAGCATATCTGGCTTCCCCCATTGACTTTGCTTGTTGGAAATCAACTGGGAAGATCACATGACCTCGAGCCACTGCCACATTTGCAAATCCATGCCAGTTGCCAAGCACCCAAATTTTGATCACGTGATTATAGGGATATTACTACAGACAGTCATAAGTAAGAAGCCCAATTATAAGTCGCTTTTCCAGTACCTGGAAAAAACAGTACTAAACAAGTGGCTTTAAGTTGAGGATTACATGTAGAGAACATAGGGGGTATCTATATTTGTCTCTTTAAATAAAATTACTTTCCTTTTGTTCCCTTCTGCATGAGAGATGAACATTGCAACAAACCAACAAAGAAGAACTAAGTCATCCTCCTCCTTCCATGTCATGCCAGCATTCAAAGGCATTTCTGCTTCCAGTAGTGATTCTTGTTGTCACTTGCTTTAAGTAGCAAGACTTATTTTCAACGGCAATTGCCTAGTATATACGTAAGAGAGCTTCCTACCCCAAATTTACAGAGGGAAACCCCATCATCTGCCTATCCAGTACATGTGGTAAGACTGCTGCAATATCAGCAAAAGAAGTGCTCCACCCACCGAAAAAATTGTTTCTTCTTACATTGAATGCAGTGCAATGACCTTTTCCAAACAATTATTAAACCAAGGGCTCAAAGATCAGCAATTAGGGTTAAGTTCAGAACTGGATGAATAACTTCCAACCTTATCTCTGCCACCAAATTCGTTCTACTGGTTACTTCTACTGACTCTCTACCAGAGAGGAATGGAAAATCAACAAGATTGAACTAGCAAGACTATTTCAACATTGGAAGTTTTCTGTCCCACGATATAAAGGGTAGAAAAACAAAAGCGGCAGAAGAGAAAACAAGCTAGAGAACTGTTGTCAATGTGAATGTCCTTAGCTGACATGAAGTACTTTAAAAGAAAGCAACATTATCTTGCCTGGTTAAAATGTAACGATGTCCCTAACCTTCATGAATGCTACAGTACATATATCGAGTTTCCACTGCTATAATAAAAAGGAACTGAAGTTGCATAGGCACTCCAGAAAACTATGTTTAGGGAAGCTTTGCTAATTGAAGACTTCTAAAGAGTATTTTTGGAAGTCCCATGAGGGTCTTTTGAAATTAAGCATGACCATCCCTTATATTTTATGGGACAAATCTTATGCTTTTAATGTACCCAATAATGAACACAAGTACCTTTTAAACCAGAAGATCTCTTCAGGATCTGCAATCCCATATTCTCTTAATTTCATCACCATAAGAGCACTCTTTTTGATAGCTACTTCATAGCGTTGGCTGCGGGAGAGGAAATTTAAATCTTCATGGTTGAAGCTGGGTTCATTTGCAATAATGGATTCTATGGGAAGAACAGATTTCATTGTTCAGTTTTCTTCAAAAGGATATAAGACCCTGTTCTCTGCTAAATAAGAGCATGTTTCTTATTTAAACAAATATGTTAGAACTACATTTAATGTTCTTAGCTGCAGTTATCATTCTGGTAACCACTTTTATAATTTAATACCGCTCATAATTAACATAAAGCTGCATTCACAAAATCTAGAAAAGTACAACCAGTACAAATGAATTACTTTCCTATCTTTGGGGGCGGGGGAATGAAGATTGGCAAAGGAAAAAAAAGTGAGGATTATTGGGGAGGATTTCATGTCATCATTTCTTACATAATGTTAGATGATACAGGTCAATTAATTGAATACAAGAAAGGAAAGTTTGACAGCAGGATGCGACAACTACTTTATTCTTAAAAGCCATCTCTTCTCATAGCATCTTTCAGCCAGGAAATTCCTTGTGTTGTGTTATCCTAAAACAGTCCTATTTTAGAGTGAGGTATATTCCTTGTGTGTCCAATCACACTTGGCCAATAAAGTATTCTATTCTATTCTATTCTATTCTATTCTATTCTATTGTCTGGAAGATTTATGGTTGAAATCTGCCATCACCTGCCCTGATGTGTGTAGGTAGGTGATGTCAGTGTGAAGCCTATACCCAGCAACATGACATAGTGACCTAGTTAGATTAACCCTTTAAGGCATTAGATAGGCATCAAGTGAACTAGGCTTTAGGCATACCAATACATCTTGTGTAACTTGACAAACATTTTTTTGGGGGGTGGGGGCTACCTGGAGTGGGAATGCCTCTTTTCTAAAACGCATCCTGAGACACCGCTTGCCAGCATGGTCCAAAAATTGAGGGGGAAAGAAGGCGTTCCCTTTCAAAGCGGTGCTTGTCCAGATGCAAAGGTGCACTTTTCATGGAGAAAACGCCGGTAAAGTTCTCGAAGGGCAACGATCCGCCTTTGCAGGGGCCGCCCCTGCTTGGGGCAGGCAGCAGAAAGCCTCCCCCGCGCACCACAAAGGGCTGCGCGGCTTTCTCTTGCATCCCATCCCCGTTATCCCGCCCGCTCTCACCGATCTCCCTGCGGCGCCGGGTCCGCTCGGCGCCCCCGTCCAAGAGGTTAGTTAGCAGCTCCGTCTTGAAAGAAGCTGCCTCTCGCTCCTTCCGCAGATCCGCGTTCATCATCGCGGCGGCCCGGCGCTCCAGCGAATAACAACCGCCAGCCGATTCCACTCGGGAAAAGCTTCCGGACCGGGAGAAATGTAGCCTTCGCCCCGTGACGACCCGGAGGCCCAATAGGGAACCGCTGAGCACCCGCGTGACTCCGCGGAGCCGTTTCCTTTTGCATAAGCGGAGCTTCCAGTTTAGGAGGCGTTCACAATGTTGAATTTGCACCATCGACGTTTAATTTCGTAGAAGTATGCGCCGGGCGTCCTTGTGAAACCAGGGTATTGGTTGCTTGGAATTATTGCACCCTGTTTTCGGCCCAGGTATCTGTTTACATATAATCCAAGCTATTCATGGTTACCACCCAAAAGTTTCGCTTTGCGTGTGCATCACGTTGCATAATCTGCCTGTAAAAAAAAAAAAAAACCGGGAAGAGTGTTTGTAAATTTCCAGAGTGTAAACAAAAGATTTAACTCGAGGGAACTAAAGTTAAACTTCCCCGCCGTCTGCTATGTGTTTATTTATTTTATTTGTATTCCGCCTTTACTGGTTTTACAAATAATTCAAGGAGTTGTACATATCTAACACACCTTCCTCCTCCTCTTTTCCCCACAACAACAACCCTGTGAGTTGGGTTGGGCTCTTTCATGGTTAAGGCTGGAGTTGAACTCTTGGTCTCCTGCTTTCTAGTCTGGTGCCTTAACTACCTGTATTAGACCAAAACTGGTTCTTAAAATTAAGAGTAAAGTTAGGTTTCAGACTGGCTGTTATTTGAATTTATGGCAGATCATGCAGGATTCTCTTTTCTTAGCCAGCCAGTATTGGAAAGGGAACAGGAAAAAAGAACAGCCCAGGGGAACAAGAAAACTGGGAATCAGAGAAAAGAAAAACTTCAGGAGCTTCAGAAAAGTAACAGAAAGTTGATTAGGGGTATTAAATTATAATTTCTGATTAAACTTATGTTTTAGTAAGGAGGATGCTCTAAAAACGCTTCTTAGTTTTATAGCAGGATAAATATTCAGAGCAGAAAAACATTGGAGATTTCTGATAGAAAGTTCTTTTTATCTTGTTTGACAATAGGATCTGCTTTTGCAAGCCATTCTGCACAATGCTTCCAGGAGCTGCAACATATCACTTTCCTTGGGAAATAAACTCTACTTCAGTACCGGAAGGGAAAACCCTGAGAACATATGGCAGGTAAGTGTGCGTCTATTTTTCTTTAATTTGGTCAATACAGTATCTGCTTATTTTCTCTATAATTGCAAGATCTGTTTGTGCTCTCTGTAATTACTACAGGAGGCAGTGTCACTGATCTGATTTCCTAAACTCAATTGGAAACAGTTGTTTTCTTTTTCCTTTCAGTTATTAGATAACTTGAGCTAGACAGTCCAAATCAAAGATGATCGGATATGCTAGGGTCAGCAAGATGGCACCCGAAGATTAGGGTAAGAAGGGAATTTTTATGCAGGTGGGATTCAACTGGTTCGCACCGTTTCAGCAGAACTGGTTGTTAAATTGCTGGCTGGCCCCACCCTGCCCCTTCCAGGAATCCCCCCGCAGCCCATTTTGGCTCCCAGGTAAGTGCAGGGAGGCCAACTAGGCCCAAAACAGGACATGTGAGGATGTGGTGTGTACTACTATGTGGCCTGGTAGGCCTCCCCGCAGCCTGTTTTTGCTCCTGGAAGGCTGCAGGGAGGCCTACTAGGCCCAAAAGAGGCTGCAGGGAGGCCTACTAGGCCCCTGGCCATGCCCAGAATGGCCATACCCACCCAGCTGGTCATTAGGGCAGAGAACCAGTTGTTAAATTATTTGAATCCCACCACTATAGGTAGTCCTTGACTTATGACCACAATTGAGCCCAAAATTTATGTTGCTAAGTGAGAAATTTGTTAAGTGAGTTTGCGCCATTTTGTGACTTTTCTCACTACATTTGTTAAGTGAATCACTGCAGTTCTTAAATTAGTAACCTGGTTGTTAAGTGAATCTGGTTTCCCCATTAACCTTGCTTGTCAGAAGGTTGCAAAAAGAGATCACAGGACTCCAGGACACTGCAACCTGATGGATTTCAAAGATCAGTCATTGTGCAGGGTGCCAAGATGTCTGACCACATACGTGGTGTTTATTCTTTTTATACCCCTTTTATGAGCAAGGAAACATAGCATAGATACAGCATTATATTGGAGAATAGATACCACATGGGTGAAACCTCCCAACCACATTGGTAAAACCTCCGAACCAATCCTTAAGAATAGTGCTGATGTTAGTGAAATGAGATCACCTATAACTCCGGAAAGTCTTGGGACTTTCCAACCCAAGGTAGAGAATGAGATCATGCCAAGAACAAAGAGGCCTATATAGGTTCTAGACACTGCAGTTTGCTGCTAGCGCCTAGCGCCATCTACAGGATCTCAATAGCTACTACAAATTACTACTACAGCAACCATCATAAATGTGAGTCAGTTGCTAAGCATCCAAATGTAAATCATATGATCATGGGGATGCTGCAAAGGTCATAAGTGTGAAAAGTGATTATAAGTAACTTTTTTCAGTGCTGTTGTAACTGAGCAGTCACTAAATGAACTGTTGTAAATCGAGGATTACTTGTATTTTTAAATGTGTGCATATGCCTTTGTGTTGTTGGACTAATATTGTGGAGTTGGCAGTGTTTTAGGTGTTGATAAATTTTAAAAAATTAGATCCTCTTATCTTCAACAACTATCAAGAATTTACTGTTCCTTTTCTGAATAGACATTGAAGATTTGATTCGAAAGGAAAGAGATTCTTTGTAATGGCCCAAATATTAAACCAGTGTTTTCCTTAACATGGGGTTAATGAGTATACTGTACTTTGTAATGGCCAAAATATTAGACCAGTATTTTCCTTAACATGGGGTTAATGAGTATACTGTACTTTGTAATGGCCAAAATATTAGACCAGT